CCAAAAATTCCATGACAACCAACAAGATAATGAAATTGACAGAAATTTGCATACCAAGCTAATCCATTATCAGGTTCAACAGTTGCCATACACAACTGGTCCATACATAACATGTTCATACTGGCAATGACAGTCATAAATTACAGGTTCATACTGACACATGAGAGCCATACATAACAAGTCCATACTGACAATGACAGCCATACATAACTGGTCCATCCCATACATAACAGGTCCATGACAGCCATACATAATTGGTCATATGAGTTTCTGTCTCTAAAATACATACAAAAGAACATCCATTCAAATAGTGGTTATGCCTTAGTTGCCCGCCTTTGTTGGTGCTGCCTTCTTCACCTTAGTAGCTAGCTGTTTTTTCTTGGGGTCATTTTTTGGCTAGTTGCACTATTGCAGCTTCATCTGTTGGTACTATCTCTAGTGGCACTGGTTCATCCAAGTATAGCCTCCTGCAAGTGAATAACTAGTTAGTTGCTTGTGCATCTCACAGTACATTAGTGGCTGGTTGATGTAAATGGAAGCAACAAACCTTTTGCTCCCTGGTGCTTGATCCACTTGCACTGCTGATCCTTGCACAGCTTGGCTTGCAGCTCCTTCATGTGCTTGCTTAGGTGTTGCCTCCCTTTGTTGTTGTTGTTGTTGTTGTTCTGGTCCTTGGTGTCCTTGCAAGTTCCTTTGTTGCTACCTCTCCCTCGTTAATTGTTTCTTTGTCAGCAGTTTTCTTCTTCTTCCTTATAGTCTTTGTTGTTGTTGCCTTAGTGGTGGGAGCTGATGTTTCCTCTTCCTCCTTTGCTGGTTCATCCTCACTAGGTTTCTGCTTCTTCCTTCCAGACTTAGTGGTTGTCTTCTTGGTTCTCTTCCTATACATGATGTGTTAGTAACTTAGATAGATTAGTGTAACAATAACTAATGAAATTGCAAAAGAAACATACCTTTTTTGGTGCCTGTTAGTGGACACCTCCAGTTGGTGGCCCTGTAGCCAAGCTCACCACATCTCTTACATGTCACTTGCCTTGTTGCTTTCCCTGTCCTCTCCAAACAGCTGAGAATCCTATTCTTCATTTGTCTCCCAGGTCCTTTCTTTTAATTGGCCACTGGTGGAGGCCATTGTTGCTTGTCAGTTATGCTAGGCACCAGTCAAAGCTAGTGAGATCTTCCTTCTTTTCTCAAACAAGACCATTGTCTTGATCCTAATTGCATCTGCAAGGGAGTCCAGTGGTGGGTCTTTGAGCTATTTGATCCAAGCATTCCAGCACTCAGCAAGATTATTGTTTATGTAGTCACACTTAATGTCTGCTGAGAACTTACTTCTAGCCCAGAGTAACTTGTGATGCTCATTTAGCCAAGGTAAGATGTCAGCTGAACCTACAACAACCTTGTAGGCATCTGTGCACACAACTAGTTTGTCTAATGGACCAAGTGCCTTGTCTAACTACTCCATGAACCAAATCCAGTTCTCTTTGGTCTCAGAATCAAAGAAACCAAATGATATTGGGAACATCCAACTATGCCCATCTATAGCATTGGATGCAAGCATGTGTCCATTCCACTGCCCATTGAGAGCAGTGGAATCTATACTAATGTATGGCCTGCAGCCCTCTAGGAAGCCATCTATACTACCCTTTAATGCACAGAAAAATCTACTGAAATGAACCTTCTTGCCTACTTTCACAGTGTCTATCTCAACAACACTACCTGAGGACCTAAGCTCTATCTTTGCTTTGAATCTAAATAACCAATCAAATAAATCATCACACTTACCAAAAAGCTTATCTACAGCCCTCTGCCTACCATACTAGCAAGTCTGATAATTTATGTTGATCTTGTATTTCTTCTCAAGTTCTTCTTTGAGCTCCTTTGCCCCCATCTGAGGCTTGTCTTTAAGCAGAGGCACTGCTCTCTCTGCAATCCATGCTTGGGATGCCATCCTGTTCAAAACTCTCCTTCTTGAGGCACAAGTATGCACATTAGATTTTATTTGTATCTGTAAACAAATAAACAAGCAAGCCAACATTAGACTATATTTATAAACTAAGTTTCATACAAACCACAGAACAACAGGTTAACTAGAAAAAAAACAGTGACATGTTCTAGAACAAAAAATAGTTAGTAATATATACCCTGACACTGTTATCTATCTGAGTTCTAGCTCTAATAATCCACTTGCATCCTTTCGATTTGCAAAATCCCCTAAACCTTTCAGGATTAGATTTCTCAGTGCCCAACTCAAACTCTTTGACTATAGCATGTTGCTTAACTGCCAATCGGAATTCAGGCATTGATGGATACAGTGTGCCTACAGACATGTCAAGATTGTCTCTATCATAGAAAAACAAGGGCTCAGTTGCTTCATTGTCATCAACAGGGATAGCTACTGCTTCCATTTCTTCTTCTACCTCAGGAGGAGTCTTTGGCACTGGAATCTCTGGTGGACCATCAGCACCAGATATCCCCTCATCTGTAGCTTTGAAGCCCATGGATTCATAGATTTGTTCCTCATCCACTAAAATAGTAGCATCCCCATCTAAGTTTCCCTCGGGTAATATTGTGAAAGCTGACCAATCAATAACAACATCATCTGATTTTGTATGCTCTGGACTGCTACAAGCATCATCTGTGCATTCAACATTTCCTTGCTCTGCTGTTACATCGGATGTGGCATGAACACTATGCTTATTTGGCACATTTCCTGCTGTTGCATCTCTGTTCTGTCTGGATGATACATTGTACTTGTCAAGTACTTCACAGCTGACATTCATTTCCTTCTTATCCCATCTAGCTTCTATCATCTACCTGAACTGCTCATCAGTAGTAACCTTCCATTCTGTCCCACTCTCCTTGTCCAGACCCCAAACAACTAGCTGCTGCAAACTACCCCAAATGATCTTTCCAGCCATTTCATCCACAAATTTAGACAGAGAGCAGTGACTGGTAAGATCAATCCAAACATCATGCTCTTGGTCATCCATTTCGACAGATCCATAATCAACATTGGTTGTGTACTTAGCAACGCTAACGTGGATTCTAAACGCATTGCCAGGATCAATCTTGACAATAATCATAAACAAATAAAGAAACATGCGGAGTTAGGAGACATCCAACTCCAAAACACTAGGATCCCAAACACTACAGCACATCGAACTTACCAAGGAGGGCAGTCAGTCCACTTCATCTTAACGCATACGATCAACAACAATGGTTACCGCAACGTCACTACAATCAAATGGACCACCAATCAAATCGAAACCGAATCAAATCGAAACCCTAGATTGGGGAATTCAACTGGGAAATAGGGTTTAGGGGACTGTGGGCAGTATCTAGTATGGTCGTCCTGTGTCCAAGGAAGGGGAAGGAGACTCGATGCCGCTGCCGCCGCGTCCGCCACAGCCGTCGTCACCGTCGCCAGGAGTGGGGAAGAAGGGGGAGTGGGCTGGGTTTGACTCGGGGCTGGGCCGGCTGAAGACAGAAGAATGAGGCAAGGGCAGCGTTGTCATTTCGCGTGCCAAGTTAGGGCTCCCAGGCTCCCTGCCACGCTGGCGTGCCCATCTAGCGTGCCACCTCAGCAAAAATGGTAAAAACGTAGGAGAGTTACTATTTGCAATGGCAAATATGTAGGGGCGCGTACAAAACTGGCAAACGAAGGAGTGCCATCCGTAAGGATGGCAAAAAGTTAAAAATCCCGAGCACGACGGGAATCTTGCATACCTCCGAGGAGCCCCGCTGCTAGTGACTTCTCACCATGGCTGCTGCCTGGGCGCCTCCTCGCGCGATCGTCCTGGCGCCGGTCGCAGCATCCCCACGCGGGACGGGCGCCAATGGCTCGGCCGCCCGTGTCGCAAGATCGAGGTCGCCTGCGACGCGCGATGCTGCGCATCAATACGTCCCGGTAGGGACCCCTCGCGTGGCTACTCGTCTGGCGCCTCGTCGACTGACCGTCTTGGCGCCGCCCGCAAAGATCCCAGCTGCGGACGGGCGCCAATGGCTCGACCGCCAGTGCTGCGGGTCGAGGCCGCCCCGCGACGACAGGTCACCCGCATCACCACTTCCTCTGTGTCGCCATAGGACGCGCCGCCGATTAGGTCTACCTCTCGGACGGACGGATTTGGCTCGCCCGGCTGCGGGGGAGGGACCGGAGCAGTGAGGGGCAGCGGCGCGGAGAGAAGACCAGGAAGGAGGAGCGGCGCCCGTCGAAGACGTGGAGAGGAGGGTTCGCGAAGCGTGCTTGACGGTCAGGTTGAACGGGTAGAACAATCTCGACAGGGAATCGAACGGCCGATAAAAAAAAACAGGCGACGTGGTCCAATGAGATACGCGAGCTTGGCTCTGATTTAGAGAGAGATAGAGATATGCCTGGGCTCTCCTGCGTCGTACATTTTCTACAACCAAAATTGGAACATTTTATCTCGTATACAACTGGATATATAAATACAATCATACGTGGATTATTGAATCCACACGACACGAACATTTTAAATTCATTTTTTTTTTCTCTTTGGTAGAACAAAATTTTGTGAACTTTAGGAGGCAGAGTAGTAGTTTCACTGCTCTCTTTATCCCTGCAACCTTTTCAAATTCCTGTGTTCCAAGAATCGAGCATGCCATTTTCCTTTCATATATACATATTCTCAGTCATCATCGTCTGCTTTCAGACTCCATTCTATATTATTCATTCATTAATTAATTCATTGGCTAGAGATTTCTCGGCTGCTCTGTTCTGCTTCTGCATCTGTGGTGAGTGAGCTAGAACCTCGTACCCTTTATTCATCTCCTCTTTATTGATCAAATTTACAGACACACATGCATAGACGATGGTCTCATCACGATCGATCACAATAGCAACAAAGCCAACAACTAAGCTAACCCATGTCGATACTATTAGTAATATTAGCCAAGCACTGCATGACAGTAGAGGAGTATATGAGCTTCAGCTAGCTAGCTACGGCCACGCCATCCTTGCAGACGAGACGACCATGCGCTCAGATTCAGCAGGTAGCGGCGCAGCGTGTGGTGCAGTCGAAGCTGCACCCTCCGCCGCCGCCCCCGCCGCCGCCGTTCTTGCCGCCGTAGCTGAAGGTCTGGAAGCAGCGCGACGGGCAGGTGAGGCGCTTCCCGCGGCATGGACCGTCCTGCGGGCACACCGTGGACGGCGGCACCACCGTGCCGCGCCGGTACCCGAGCCCGCCGCCCTCGGCCCACCCGCCGAAGAACCCGCCCCCGGGCCGCGCGCCGCCGCCGGGCCCCGGTTGCCCCGCGCCGCCGAACCACGGCATCCCGGCGAAGAAGGCGCCCGGGTCGCCGCCGCCGCCGCCGCCCGGATTGTTGCTGTTGTCGGGGTGGCGGCCCTTGTGTCCGGCCGCCGATACCGCCAGCAGGGCGAGGAGCAGGACGAGGGGCAGGAGCAGCACAGCGGCGGAAGCACCGGGCTTGGTGGCCATGGCGGCGGCGGCGGCGCTCTAGCTACTTCCTGGTTGAAGGAAAAGGAAAGGAAAGGGTTTGGGACGAGTCTTCTCTGGGCGGAGGAATCCAACTGCGCGACTCGAGAGGGATGCTTGTGAGCTAGTACCAGTGTGAGCACGGCCGGCAGCTACTTATGGCGCGCGGCGCGATGGACTATATGGAGACGATAGATGTGGAGGGCCCAACGACGGATTGGAGAGGACTTTGGGGAAAGCGGAGGCTGGTGGGGCGGTGGCGCAATCTGCGGCGTGGCGATTCGACTCGGGTACAACGCTACCCTGCTGCTGCGGCCGCTGTCCATCAGTGCGGTCTAGCTAATCAGCTGTCTGTCACTGTGTGGCGCCAAGCCATGGTTGACAGCTGACAGGTACGTGTACCGGAACGGAACCACGGGCGCGCTACGGTAGTACGGTTTGTTTACCCCAAATTGCAAACGCTCTGCCGACTGACTCTTCTCCAAGCTTCTTTACAGCGAGCTTGCTGTTAATTTTTTTCACAGTACTCCCAACCAGGATGATTATCCAGCCTGACCATGCATACTACTCAATGTCTTGGGAGTTCGCGGCCGGCGCTGCACGATGCTCGTCTTTAATGGCGAACTGTGGTGGGCGGGGTGATCGGCGAGTGTGTCGCGGGCGCGCCGTATTTGAGGGTACGGTGGGTTCCGTTCCGGCCGGGCACTGCAGGCTCTCGGGAGTCCAAAACTAGAGAGCCTGCACCGTGCAGACCCTGCCTCGGTCTGCCCGTGTGCCTGTGTGTATAACTGTACTACTACAAGACATTGAGAAGACTTGAGAGTACTGACGGCCGGACAGTTTCACCGGTGCAGCGCTCCCCTCGTCGTCCCCGGCGCCGGCGGGCGCGCACACGCTCCCCGGCCTGTTGCAGTTCAGTGCGGTTGACTTTACCTCGTCCATCAGAATTCACGTCACATTTTTATAGTCACTCAGAAACAAAAAATTCAGCAGAACACACACACACACGTATAAACGTGTCTTCCAGTTTTGTTCCTTCCTCGGCAAATTGATACGAGAAAGCCAAACGGTCTGTTCGCTGGTAGGTTTCTGGGTTGATTTGGGCTGACTGGTGCTGGTTTATTGTGAGAGAAAAATACTATTAACTAGCTGGTTTGGGCTAGCTGAAACCAAACGAACATGCTGAAAGCTTCTTTCTTTCGTCATCCAACCCCACATAGAAAGTCAAGCTTGCCTGCCGACGTACGGTACGTCAACGAGAATCAATCCTTGGATTGTGCCTCACAACCACACAGCCAGAGGGCCGCCGTTGACTTCGGTGAAAATATGGCAACGAAGCACAGCACTAGGAGTACATCCACACTTGACTCGCGCGACCATCGATGCTGTAGCTGTAAGTCGCCACGTGCACCCCCGCTGCCGCTGCCACGCGTGCATCTCGAGGGCAGCAATGCGCGCATTCAGTCTCGGTGCACCACTGTATATCCATGAGAGAGGATAGATATTAGGCCTGTTCGCTGGTCGGTGCTGGTGCTGGTTTTTTTTAGAAAAAAATATTATTGGCTGGCTGATTTAGACTGGTTGAAACCAACAAACGAACAGGCTGATTTTTGCTTAGATGACGCTGACTTATGGACAAGGGAGTATAAGAATAGCCACCGGTTTTTAAATCGTTAGATATTATCTTGCATCGTTGGCAAAGATAATACCATAGCGTATATCGCTGGCGACTTCCCGTCGGACATTCTTGACCGGGGATTTCCCCTTTTACCAGTAGCCTGTAGCCGGTTTGAAAATCACAAGCCGACGGATAGTTGCCGACGCTGAGCCGTCGATAAGGTGCCGTTTGGTTCCACTGAACTACCAACCAGTTGACTAATTTTTAGTCCCTACAAATATCAAATAGGATAATTAATTGTTTGTTCGCTAGTTATAGATCAGTTGTTAGTTCACTAGTTCATTTATAGAAGCTAATAAGACTAGTTGTTAGTCCTAATCCATCCAAACAGGCCCTAAGTTGATGGTTCATGCTCCTGGTTGTTAGTTAAGGCATTGCATGCTTCAATCTATCAGGAAAAATACATTTAAGATAGTGTTTTCTTTACTGTTGGGGACTCAACACTGTTGGTTATAGATAAATCTTAATGAAGACGGGCAAAAACGATTAATAGAGGCGGGCAACTCAATCGCCTCCAATCAAAGGCCTCGGTAAATCATGAACAACCGAGGCGGTTTGTATGCCCGCCTCCATTAATCAATTAAAAAATAAAAAAAATCCAGCAAGCCTGTCGAGCCCATCGACGAGCCCGCTGAGCCCATCCGCTCGTGCGCCGCCACCACCGAGCCGGATCCGTCGCGCCCGTGCCTGATCTGGCGCCGAAGGGAGGAGAGAGAGGGCACCGCCGGCGTCGAAGCCTCGCCCCGATCCGGATCCGTCGTGCAGCCCACAAGCCGGATTGGCCGCGCCGCCCGGATCTGAGTGTCGGAGAGGAGAGGAGCGCCACCACCGAGATCCATGCCGCCAACGCCGTCGTGGGGGAGAGAGAGGGGCGCCGTCGTAGGAAGCGGCGCTAGGGAGACGGAGGTGCGCGGGGGAGGGAGAGGGCGCGGGTGAGAGGGAGGGGCCCGAGGTGCCACCGCGCGTCCCACCGCCGCCAGCCGGGGTCGCCACCGCCTGGCACGCCACCTCCTGCGGAGGGAGGAGGAGAGGGAGATGGAGCCGACCCTGGGAGGGAGAAGGAGGAGAAGGGGACGCGCAGCGCCGCGCGCTAGGAGGGAGTCGGGGGGCGCCGCAGGGAGTCGGGGCTCGGTCGGCTAAGGAGGGAGAGGGTGAGAAAGAGAGTGAGTGAAGGAACCCTAACTTCCTCTATTTATATGGAAGATGGTTACCGGGCCTCGCCTGGACCTGTTGGGCCTTGGCCTTTTCGGAGGCGGGTCTTATAGTGTGCCTGCCTCCGAAAATAGATTTATGGAGGCGGGCACCTTAAGACGACCGTCTCCGTAAATAGGTCATTTTTGGAGGCGGTTGTCTTAAGGCGCCCGCCTCCATAAATCGATTTTAGGAGGCTGTTGTATTTTGTCCGCCTCGGTAAATAAATGTGACCGTCTCCGTTAATAGCTCAGCATATTGGGAAGCGGTTGGATTTTGTGCCCGTATCCGTTAATATTTGGGCACCATTACCTAAAATCATTTCTGTAGCTATGACATGAGTGTCATTTGTAATCGTTAGTTTTGGGTATCCGTCGGTTTTATTTACTCGTCAACTCTAACGTTATGCAACAGTTTATCATGATTTTTTTCCATATCTTGTTGCTTATTATATTTCAATGGTTGAATCGGTTAGAGACAAACATTCAAAGTGTCGTAAAAGAAACAATAAGAAAATAATGTACATTAAACATTCTAGTATCATTTCAAAACCAACAAAAATGAGCTTCTACATAGTTAGACGATGAACATCAACTAGTTATAATAGACAATGAGAGTTTGTACTAGCAAATAAACACCAAAATATTTTGATAAATTTTTGAAAAATTATTTTTACACCTTTCCTCCCTTCTCAGTGGCCTGAACTTTCAGGCGATCCATCTCACTGTTCAGAGATCCTGCTAGTAGCAGTCACTATGTTGATCACATGAGAGAATACTAGTAATAGTTATCACTGTTGTCTGGAAAAACTACTAGCAAATCTCTTATTTTTACGATTGCTTGGTATTTTTTATAATATTTATAGTCCGATTTATCTCCTGAAATTTCAAAATAATTCGATTTGCCCATGTGACACGGTGCCACATCAGTAAAACATCATCAAAACCACCCAAAATGTAAAAGCAAATGGTCTTATAAATTGAACGAGCTAAAAAGAACTGGTTTTGTAGTTTAAGGAATAAAATCTGACACCGCGCTGGCCCTCGTTTGCCAGTCTGAAATCCTGTCGAGATGGGCCTCCTACGGCCCGCTATGGGTTTCCGCGATCCAAGTTTTTTGGCTCGTTCTCCTGACCCAGAAAGCAAAAGCAATTCTAAGGGCATGTTTGGTTCCTTCCCTCCTCTAAAATTTTTGTCGCATCGAATATTTGACATATGTATGGAGTATTAAATATAGACTAATTAAAAAACTAATTACATAATTTGTGACTAATTTGTGAGATAAATTTTTTAATTCTAATTAGTTTATGATTTGACAACGTAGTGCTACAGTAAATATGTGCTAATGATAGATTAATTAGATTTAAAAAATTCATCTCGAAAATTAACCTCTAAATATTTAATTGATTTTATAATTAATTTATATTTAATACTCTTTGAAACAAACACCCCTGAGTTCCCCATCCGCACCTCCCCGACTTCCGGCCACCGCCATGTACCGCCGACGCGCGCTCGCCTTCGCCCGGCGCCGCCGCCGCTGGCTCCTCTGGGCGGGTGCCGCCGCGGGGTGCTACCTGATCTACCGCCACCCGGCCGTGGCAGCGCGGCGCCGCCGCCTCGCGCGCCTCGCCTCCGCGCTGGCCTCCCTCGCGGACGCCGCCGCCGCCGTGGCGTCCGACCTCGCGGCCTTCCTCCGCTCCGACTCCGACGCGGTCCCGCAGAGCCTCAAGCAGGTCTCCAAGCTCGCCGCCTCGCCCGAGGCGTCCGCGTCCGCGTCGGCGCTGTCCGGGGCCCTCGCCGCCGGCGTGCTACGCGGATACTACGCCGCCGCGCCGGGGTCCGGAGCCGCCCCCGGAACCGAAGTCTCGCTCTCGGACCGCGTGCTGGACAGGGTGCTCTCCCCCGACGGGGAGCGCCTCGCTTCCGCCGTCGCCGGCAGCTTCGGGCGCCACCTCGTGCTCGCCTTCTACTCGGCCCCGCCCCAGCCTTCCGCGACGGACGCCTCGCCGGCGAGCTGGGTCGATGCCCTTACCACACCGAGGGGCCAGAGGGCGATCCGCAGCTGGGTCGAGGTCTTCACGGCCACCGCCGTCGGCGTCTTCATAGACAAGACCATCCACATCAACACCTACGATCAACTATTCGCTGCCGCCACCAACCCTAACTACGGCGCCAGGCTGCAAGAGCTTTTTGTAGCACTCTGCAGCACCTCCGTCGAGACACTGGTCAAGACCTCACATGGCGTCCTGTCCAGTACCAGTGGAAATGCCAGTGGCACTGGCAGCTCTGGTTCCGGCATCAATGGTGGGGCTGGTGAAGGGTGGGTGGAGACAGTGTCAAGTGTGCTGGTGGTGCCAAGCAACCGCAAACTTGTTCTGGATTTGACGGGCGCGGCGACATTCGAGGCAGTGCGGTCGTTCCTGGAGTTTGTGCTGTGGAAACTGAACGCTGGTGCAAGAGCTGGAGGTGATGCCACAATTGGGGCTGGATTGCGTGCTTTGAGGCATATGAGTGATAGGTCCATGGTAATTGCCACGGTTTGCATAGCATTATGCCTGCATGTCTTGAATAGCACTTGGCTCTTGGTTCCGTCTTGAGCCTGTGGATATTCCAGAGTTCCGATTGATGATTGTAAAGTTTATATCACCGCCGTATTTGCTGTATGATTATGTGCCACTAACAGAGTATAGTATACACGGAAGCTGTAAATTCAAAATGGTGGATTTGGGGCATGGAAAAGAACTTGATTGGTAAATTGTTGCAAGCTTTTTTGTGTAATAATTATCACAGTACATTCAGTTAAAACAAAATCTGTTCATTTAACGTTCTCCTATCGTGCAATAATAGTTTTGGTGGGTTCTATTTTATACTGGAAACAGGTCCAATTTACCTCCCTGAATCTTGACACTAGTTTCCAGATGATGATGGAAGTGTGATGTTTCCTTCCACTAATTGTCAGTTACCTCTATGCATTTTTTACCAACTTGTTTTAGTGCTTCTCTTCTACTTTGATATACATCTTCTGTGTTCAGTAAATTATCACATATCATATGTGCCATGTGTGTTCAGGAGATGTTGATATGCTTTTGGCTGTCACACCTATTTATTTAATTAATTAATTTGCTTCTTAAGCTGATGTGGATCGCAGATGCAAGGTAATCTACCACTACCAGATCATTTCTGCACTCTTTTCTGAAGCTTATTTGCACTATTTTCTTAAGCTTGTATCACTTCTTGTAGAAAGATAGAATTGGGAGGCAATTGGCCACACCTCAATAGGAGGGGGCGCCTTCTGTTATATAGGGCCGGCTGGCCTTGCTTTACAAGGCAAGGGTAATTCCCTTGATTTACATCTACTAAATATAGTAACTAATCCTTGATTTACATCTACTAATTATGGCTACAAATGCCGCAGCATATGGTAAGGGGCTGCGGCATATTCTATTGCCTAACACCCGCCCATGATTCTGTTGGAGGCTCCTTGACGCAAAGATCGGATCGAAATTCTCGAAAAGAGTGCTTTGTGAAGCCCTTTAGTCATGATATCGGCGAACTGGTGAGAGGAGGGCACATGGAGAACCCGAATCTCACCGAGGGCCACCTTTTCGCGGACGAAGTGAATGTCGATCTCAATGTGCTTCGCTCGCTTGTGGTGGACGGGGTTGGCTGTCATGTAGACGGCGCTGACGTTGTCGCAGAAGACAACGGTGGCGGAGGGCAGCCGGAAGTGGAGCTCCTGGAGTAATCTGCCGGCCCGGCGAAGACTTTCGGCCTACAACGTGAGCCACGGCCCGATACTCTTTCGGCTGCCGGCGGGACACCATGGTCTGGCGCTTGGAGGACTAAGAAACCAGATTGTCACCGAGATAGACGCAGAAGCCGGAGGTGGATCGTCGAGAGTCTGGACAGCCTGCCCAGTCAGCGTTAGAGTAGGCAGTCAGCTTGTCGACAGACCCGGTGCCAATGTGAAGACCCGAGGAGAGAGTCCCCTGTACGAAGCGTAGGATGCGCTTGATGAGCGCACGTTGAGGCTCACGCGGGGCGTGCATGAAGAGGCACACCTGTTGAACAGCATATGCCAGATCAGGACGAGTCAGGGTTAGGTACTGGAGAGCCCCCGCCAAGCTCCTGTACTCAGATGCGTCCTTCTCTGACAGTAGATCCCCGTCGGCCGCGGATAGCTTGGCGTGAGTGTCAACAGGTGTCGTGGTCGGATGACACTCAGCCATGCCCGCGCGCTGAAGAAGCTCGACAGCGTCTGCACAACGAGGAGAAAGTGCGCGCCACCACCGCCCTCCTGGCTGCTGCCTCCTCTCCTGGTGGTAACCAGCGGCAGCAGCAGGGCGGCAGGCGGCCTAACACCAAGAAGGGCGGCCAGCAGCCCTTCCCAAACTCTTGGCTGCTTCGTCGACACTGTGGCATTACAACGTCTAGAGGTCATTCCGTCCTTCCTACACCTACAACAAATTTCGCTCTGATACCATTTAGAAAGATAGAATTGGGAGGCAATTGGCCACACCTCAATAGGAGGGGGCGCTTTTGTTATATAGGGCCGGCTGGCCTTGCTTTACAAGGCAAGGGTAATTCCCTTGATTTACATCTACTAAATATAGTAACTAATCCTTGATTTACATCTACTAATTATGGCTACAAATGCCGCAGCATATGGTAAGGGGCTGCGGCATATTCTATTGCCTAACACTTCTGTTTACAAAATTTGTTTAGAAGATCTCTTTTCACATAACACTGCTGTTTCCTTACCTGTGCTTGACTGCTCGTATCAATCATTTTTTCCTATTGCTAAGTTGGCTGTGTCAAATTGGTAAATTTTTTCCAGTTGCTCACTTATGTTGGTTAGACTGAAGTACTGAGATAACTGTTTATCTTTGTTTGTACTGAAGTGCTGAGATGTAACTGTTAATATTTAGGAGCTTTTCTCTATCTTGTCTCATGGGATTGTTATATTTGATCGAAATTATGTTTTCTGCCGTGTATAGCATGGTGGCTGGGTGCGTCCGTTGTGATGCCCCAGACCCAGGCTCAAGCCACTGTGGGCGTTCCCTGTGGTGCTGCACTTTTTTTAAATAAATCGTTCGCTGTGCAAACTGCCTTCAGAAGCAGGCGAATGGTGCCACTGGCCAGGCAGCTTTTGGGACTTTTTCTAGGTCCAGGAGTGGTTTGGTCTCTTCTTTAGAAAATGCCATGGAGGCGGTGTTCCCCCAAATTCTGGTTTTTTTATGCTCTCTGCTAGACAAGTTGGGCTAAGGTCCTGCTGATTCTTTATTTCTCCATACCATTTTCCATTTTGTAATTCTGATGTGATTATTTGCTTTCTTTGGTAGTTACCTAATTCTGGTGTCATCTATTTAACTTATTTGAATTGATTCTTGAGCTGATGCAGATTGCAGAGACAAAGTAATATACCACTACCAGAGCTTGTATCATCTTTGCTTGCAAATCAGGTTAGAAGATTTCTTTTCACATAATTCCATTTTTTCTTCCTACCTGTACTTTTACAGTTTTATCTGCCATTTGTTTGGTACATGTAGTGCCTGAACCGTGACTAGGGGCTTTTGGTGGGTTTCAACTCTAGCCTACCCCACTTGTTTGTGACAGGCTTTGTTGTTGTTGTTGTTTCATACATGTTGCTAGATTCACTTTTAGTCATACAAAAATCAGGTTAGAAGATTTCTTTACAAGAATCATGTTAGAAGATTTCTTTTCACATAATACCCACTTTCCCTACATGTTGCCCACCCAGGATAGCATGCTCTGTGGACATCCAGGCCATTACCCTGTGATGTCAAGATTCATTCTAAAGGAGAGAAATTTAACGGTGATATTCATCCGTTGACAGAGTTTTGGGGGAGGGGAATGTGTACCTCCTCCAGAGAGCCTTCTTCTCTGGGATGCTGGGCTCCTCCTTGTCTGGGAATCTCCATAACACCGGCAGGTTAGGGTTTTGGGTTGGGGTTTGGGGATGCACTGATGTGGATGCAAATATGATGGAGCCTGGTTGCCAAGTCTGGTCATTTTTTTTTGGGCATAACACTACAATCTGTACTTGCACTGTTAGTCATCATTTTAATTTTCACATGAGGCATGTCACAAAATTAGTATGTACCAGATCTACAAAGTTTTTGCTTGTATTTATTTTAGTCTGTACTGAATTGCTGATAGACATGGGTTCAATACTCAAGAAGCTCTCTCTAAAATGTCTCAAGGAATTGATTTATTTTGTTTCATAATGTCCTCGCTGGTGTAAAGTTGTATTTCTTCCCTAGCCAACTTGGTAGATGGCCTTCAGAGTCCAAACATTCTTTGTCTACACTGTACCAAGAGTACAGTTTGTTAGTATTGTTTGAAAATCTAGCCTGCATTCATGGCCCCTGACTTTCTTTAAAATCTCTAATAAGAGAAGTCTCTGTTTGAATTTTGGAGGGTAACGTACGAGATTGTGCTGCTGTGGTGTTCATATAATATTTCTAACTTTGCTGCTGGGTTCGTCTGGAGCAGCAGCAATTAGGATGGCAAACCTGCGATGTTTTGAAATTGTATTGTCCAAGTCCAAGAGCATTAAATTCCACAGTTGAGAAACTGATTCTTTGAAAATCTCAGTGGCTGCAGGCACATTAAGAACTTTCAGGGCGAGGGTTAGAAGGACCTACCGTACAATCAGTATCGCCATGTCAAATTTGGAGTGCCTCTGGATATCCCAGTCTCAGGTGTGAACGCAGGCCTTGCACGAAATTCTCCGCCTATTTTCTCACGTTTTAAGTCAAGATCAGGCCTTCTCCCACCAGATATGTCCGGGCACAGGAGGCTTCAGGTAATGATTCCAGAACCAATGACCTTTTGTTTCTTCATGGAGAATTGTATGCTACTGGCCTGGCCTACCTTTCATGATTAAAGATTGTTTGACTGGCACTGTCTCTCATGAATCAGGCTGCCTCTTCTGGGTCCATACACTGAATGAGAGAGAATTTCTTGTGAGCCATTAAAAAAGATCGCAATCCCCTGTGAGTCCACTGGAAAAGTTCAGCGGACTTCAGCGCCACTGCTCCAACTTTTTTTACCCTCCATGCCACTGCCGTCAGATTAGGCTCTAACGGTGTCAAACTGCAGGTGTGAAAAGTCGAAAATATCCTTTAGTCTAAATATGTCATTAGATTTTTTTAGCATCTTAACGACTTCAAATGAAAAAACTCAAAACAAGAAAGTTGTAGATCTCGTCGAGATCTATAATTTTCATATAAAAATTATCTTCATTTAATTCCGCAAAAAAGATATGATTTGATATGATTAATATATCTTAGAAAAATCATATCTTTTTTGCGGTATTAAAAGAAGATAATTTTTATATGAAAATTATAAATCTCGACAAGATCTACAATTTTCTAGTTTTGAGTTTTTTCATTTGAAGTCGTTAAGATGCTCAAAAAAATTAATGACATATTTAGACTTAAGGGTATTTTTAGACTTTTCACACATGCAGTTTGACATCGTTAGAGCCCAATCCGACGGCAGTGGCATGGAGGGAAAAAAAGTTGGAGCAGTGGCGCTGAAGTCCGCTGAACTTTTTCAGTGGCTCACATGG